TCAGTTTGGCGCCATTTTGATCAGTCTCATCAACACACAAATAAATACGACAATACATTTGGCGCGATCACTTCGCACAACACGCACACACGTGAAAATAACGAATCGTGCAAAATAAAAAAAAAGCAATTTATTACAGAAAAAAATCAAATTCTTTTAAAAAAATTTCAGGGCCATTTTCTAGGTCGCAGACATCGATTTTCGGCTCGAACTGAGCCCGACGCATTCCCGGCAGCCTAATAAACCTATTTTCAACAAAAAAATCAGCGAAAAACCGCAAAAAACCCGCCACACAATCATTTTCAAGAAGACATACTGAATTATACACTACCAACAAGAACTGAAGCGAAACACCGAGTCGGCATAATGCCAATTACCGTATTCCTAACAATCATGTTGAAACCATATGTCACCTATAACAGCTCAATATCATTCAAATTTGACACCACCCTGCGTCTTTTGCCAACCTGAACTAAGTAACGACGAATTCGTTTTCTACTTTTTTTACTTTACTGTTATTTCACCGATTCGATTTATCGTCTTCTTCATTCTCAAGGAGAGGTGAATGAAAAAAGGAATAAATAAAACACAAATGCATCTCATATAAAAAGCTGGGTCAAGTAAAGTACCACCCCGATTACCCATCCTTTGGGTAGGTACTTTACTTATTCTCATCCATATTAAACAAAACAAATTGCAACAACACTTAAGACATTTCACTTCAGACATTTATTTCACAAAACACTTTATACATCCCCATATGTCTGTCTGTCAAACACACACAATTTTTATACAACACTCAAAATTTATATTCATCCATAAAATTTATCAAACATATAATACTTTATACGTATAATCAAACATATAATCACAACACAAAACAGTCATATAACTCAACATTAAAAATATCATCTCGTATCACAAATATTTTCCATTTTCCATTCCCTTCTTCGCAATCCATCCAAACGCAACCCCATCCAAAAGTGTAATCGCAACGTCCAAAGTCCTAAAACGACTCCATTCCATTCCATTGCATTCCTCAAACAAATACTCATTACACATTAAACTAAATGCTACAATACAGCTTATTTGCTTGCTAGCAGTCGACACGACCCACATACACGTGGCATACAACAAGCAATTGAACAATCAAATAAACGCAAACACAACCATCACATATCCATTGTCATATCATATACTATTACTCGATCCCCTTACATAAAACTATCAAATCAGCTGAACTCACCACCACCACCACCACCACATAATATTACAACATCTATACAACGTATACACCACGCCACATTGATAGTCTTTATAAAGGCACGTTCGCAATGCAAAACACATCATTTTATCATTTATTTCCCTTTGCCAGCCACTCACTAGAATCACCCCTCTCCCATTAGTCAATAATACGAATCAATAATGATAATTCTTACCAGCCAACCAAACGATCGCCTTCTTGAGAGCAATGAAGAATACCGCATTCGGAATAATCACCGCAATCCTCCTCGCCGTCCACGTTGCCTTAGCGGTGAGCAACGCCGGCGCCGCTGCCACAAAAAAACACGGCAATATCATACCAGCCTTTTTAATTAACGAATCTAAAGAAGTTATAGAAGTAGGTGCATTTATAATATTTATAATAAATAATATCATAATAATAATAACAATAATAATAATAATAA